GACTTAACAACAACAGGGCAGTTGTGCAAAATCTGCCTTTGTAGACATTCACAGAGGACTGTGTAGACTATTGAGAATGATAGTGTTTTACCATATGCAGTGAAAGGGCAATTATGATATATGCCACCTGGAATTTCCTCTTTCCAAATACGAAGCAATTAAATGTACTCTGGGACTCTGTTGTGATTTTAGTTCTTATTCCATTAAAAAAACCCTCTTCTAATGAATTTGAAAACTCCAAAGATTCATCCATGGACCCAATGCGTCCTCACTGGTGATGGTAAATAAGCCTGTGATAATTATATCATAAGGGCATTTGAATGTGTTCTTGCTTATGACTGCTGTGATCCTTCCCTATATGAGTTGGGGTGACTGGTTGATGGAAAAGTGACTGATAACAGGGTCATTAAATAAGGGAATTGACGTTTATTGTCTCTTCTTTTTGACTCTCTTCTGGGATAGCTACACAACCAACCACATTTGTTGTTCATGATGCACTGTAGAACGGTAATAATTATGTCCAGGTATTCCAAAGGGCAACACAGAAAGTGCTAGTACATGATTGGGGCAACTTGTGTTTTCTTAATGGTCCAGGATTTATCAGTCAGATTGCCATGGAAAAAACTATGCCCCTTAATCGTCCAGAGTTTGAAGATTTTCTTTTTTTTTAAATTGAACCTTAACAATTTCATACTAATTTAGGACATAAGGCATCCATTAATTTTTTTATTAGGTCAATGAAATGTGTATCTCAACAAAGTGTTTTCCTCCCTTTCTGTTAACCTAGGAGAAAGATCCTGGTTTGTTTTAAGAAGAGAAGGAAACACATTGTTAAAGGAACACTGTTTCTTCATGGTAAGTACTTGACCATGGGACTAACTTGCAATCTAAAAGGTCAGATGTTTTAACCAGAGCCTCATTATGTTTAAGCTTCTAATGTGGATCATACATAGGCAAAGTAATAGTGTGGCCAAAAGGAATTAAATAAAATACAATCAAATTATGATTTCTTATTTACTAGAGCACTGATTTGCAGGAGATGCCCAGATCCCTTCCCCAAAGGTTGTTTCAATATACTTGGTTTACTTGGCTTCTAGTTAGGCATTGGTGTTTTTTTTTTTTAAAGAAAAAAAGAATGGTGCTCTAGTGATTGCAATGGAAATACAGGTTTAATTATGACACACCAAATACTTCCAATGTAAAAAATTATTCCCCGAGAAAGGAAGATTGAGGAGTAATCTGTGAAATAATTGGGTGGCAGAATGAAGCACTACCATTCTGCTAGGTTGGTATAGTGTGAGGGAATTTGATCCACCCATTAAATGTGTATTCATTGAATTTGAACAACCAAGTCATGAAACCATTTCCCCCCGCCTCCAGTTTTAGGTATGGTTTCTCTTAAACCCACAGACTGTGTGGTTATGATACTATAATATACTAGCTTTACTGTTCACACTGGTAGTGTCGGTGTGTGTATGTGTGCAATGTTGTTTTAGTCATGTCTGACTCTTTGTGACCCTACTGACTCTAGCCCCCCCAACCCCCCCACCTCCTCTGTCCATGGGCTTCTCCAGGCAAGAATACTGGAGTAGATTGTTGTGCCTTTCTCCAGGGAATCTTCTTGACCCAGGTATGGAACCTGCATCTCTTACATCTCCTGCGTTGGCAGATGGGTTCTTTACCACTAGCACACACAGGTCCTGAAGAAAGAACTCAGGCTGAATAGACTTCAGGAAAATACCTGATTTGGAACCTGGTAATAAAAAAACAGCTCTTTCACACCTTCTATTACCAAAGGGTTAAAGTTAGAAGGCTTCCTACATTGCATGGCATCCCTGAAACATAGAAATTACCACTGTGACCCCATGAAAAATATTTTTTGCAGGATGACAACCTTCACTCTTTTTTTTTAAGCCTATGACACATATTTAATTAATTATTTATTTATTTCCATTTATTTTTATTCGTTGGAGGCTAATTACTTTACAATATTGTAGTGGTTTTTTGCCATACATTGACATGAATCAGCCATGGATTTACATGTGTTCCCCATCCCGATCCCCCCTTCCACCTCCCTTCCCATCCCATCCCTCTGCGTCTTCTCAGTGCACCAGCCCTGAGCACCTGTCTCATGCATCCAACCTGGGCTGGTGATCTGTTTCACACTTGATAGTATACTTGTTTCAATGCTGTTCTCTCTGAACATCCCACCCTCACCTTCTCCCACAAAGTCTAAAAGTCTGTTCTGTACATCTGTGTCTCTTTTTCTATTTTGCATATAGGGTTATCATTACCATCCTTTTAAATTCCATATATATGTGTTAGTATACTGTATTGGTCTTTATCTTTCTGCCTTACTTCACTCTGTATAATGGGCTCCAGCTTCACCCATCTCATTAGAACTGATTCAAATGAATTCTTTTTAATGGCTGAATAATATTCCGTAGTGCATATGTACCACAGCTTCCTTATCCATTTGTCTGCTGATGGGCATCTAGGTTACTTCCATGTCCTGGCTATTATAAACAGTGCTGTGATGAACATTGGGGTACACGTGTCTCTTTCAGTTCTGGTTTCCTTGGTGTGTATGCCCAGGAGTGGGATTGCTGGGTCATATGGCAGTTCTATTTCCAGTTTTTTAAGGAATCTCCACACTGTTCTCCATAGTGGCTGTACTAGTTTGCATTCCCACCAACAGTGTAAGAGGGTTCCCTTTTCTCCACACCCTATCCAGCATTTATTGCTTGTAGACTTTTGGATAGCAGTCATTCTGACTGGCGTGTAATGGTACCTTATTGAGGTTTTGATTTGCATTTCTCTGATGATGAGTGATGTTGAGCATCTTTTCATGTGTTTGTTATCCATCTGTATGTCTTCTTTGGAGAAATGTCTGTTTAGATCTTTGGCCCATTTTTTGATTGGGTCATTTATATTTCTGGCATTGAGCTGCAGGAGTTGCTTATATATTTTTGAGATTAATCCTTTGTCTGTTTCTTCATTTGCTGTTATTTTCTCCCATTCTGAAGGCTGTCTTTTCACCTTGCTTATAGTTTCCTTTGTTTTGCAAAAGCCTTTAAGTTTCATTAGGTCCCATTTGTTTATTTTTGCTTTTATTTTATTTTATTTTTTTGCTTTTTTCCCAATATTCTGGGAGGTGGATCATAGAGGATCCAGCTGTGATTTATGTTGGAGAGTATTTTCCCTATGTTCTCCTCTAGGAGTTTTATAGTTTCTGGTCTTACATTTAGATCTTTAATCCATTTTGAGTTTATTTTTGTGTATGGGGTTAGAAAGTGTTCTAGTTTCATTCTTTTACAAGTGGTTGACCAGTTTTCCCAGAACCACTTGTTAAAGAGGTTGTCTTTTTTCCATTGTATATCCTTGCCTCCTTTGTCGACGATAAGGTGTCCGTAGGTAGGTGGGTTTATCTCTGGGCTTTCTATTCTGTTCCATTGATCTATATTTCTGTCTTTGTGCCAGTACCATACTGTCTTGATGACTGTGGCAGCCTTCACTCTTTTTTTTTTTTCATTTATTTTTATTAGTTGGAGGCTAATTACTTTACATCATTGCAGTGGTTTTTGTCATACATTGAAATGAATTAGCCATGGATTTACATGTATTCCCCATCCCGGTCCCCCCTCCCACCTCCCTCTCCACCCGATCCCTCTGGGTTTTCCCAGTGCACCAGGCCCGAGCACTTGTCTCATGCACCCAACCTGGGCTGGTGATCTGTTTCACCCTAGATAATATACGTGTTTCGATGCTGTTCTCTTGAAACATCCCACCCTCGCCTTCTCCCAGAGTCCACAAGTCTGTTCTATACATCGGAGTCTCTTTTTCTGTTTTGCATATAGGGTTATCGTTACCATCTTTCTAAATTCCATATATATGTGTTAGTATACTGTAATGGTCTTTATCTTTCTGGCTTACTTCGCTCTGTATAATGGGCTCCAGTTTGATCCATCTCATTAGAACTGATTCAAATGAATTCTTTTTAATGGCTGAGTAATATTCCATGGTGTATATGTCCCATAGCTTCCTCATCCATTCATCTGCTGATGGGCATCTAGGTTGCTTCCATGTCCTGTCAGCCTTCACTCTTAACTGTTTGTTGTGTATGTGTCTGCAGTCATTTTTGTTTTGTATTGTTTACCTTGTGGATTATTATTCACAGATAGTATTTTCCAAAAAAGTTAGGTGACACATTAAAAATTGTTATAAAAAATAAAAACAAATCTTTAATTTTATAATTTAAAAATAACTGTTATAATTAGTATAATAATGTTATAATAGTAAAATGTTTGTCATTTCTTGCAAAATATTTTCAAAATATAAAATGATCCCTCATTCACAAATATACCTGAAAGCAGTGTTTTTGTTTTTTATTTTATTTGTGTTTTTTAAAAGTTGCTATCATTTAAATTCTTTATTCTTCAGTGATAATATTTCCTGATTCACAGATTAGGCAGAGAATGACGAAAAACAGAGAAACAGAGATAAACACGGAGGTAAAAAATGAGTCTACCATCCAGGAGTTCATTCTGGAGGCGTTTCCTGCCGTCCAGCACTTGGGGAACCTCCTCTTCCTGGTGCACCTGCTGGCATACCTGGCCTCTATCGTGGGAAACATGGTCATAATCATCATCACCTGGGCTGACCATCGCCTCCAGACGCCGATGTATGTTTTACTGAGTGCTTTCTCCTTCTGTGAATGCTGTTTCATCACCACAGTTATTCCTAAACTGCTGTCCATCTTCCTTTCAGGAAGGCAAATAATTCCCTTTACTGCCTGCCTCACACAAGCCTTTTTCTCTTTTTTTCTTGGAGCTATAATTTTCTTTCTCATGGCTGTGATGTCATTGGATCGATACCTGGTCATTTGCAAGCCTCTGCACTATGCATCCATCATGAACCTGAAGGTTAGCTTCCTCCTGATTTCCTTGTGCTATTCTTTGTCCTTCATCTTAATCACTTGTCTGATGCTCAAGGTGTCCCAGTTACTGTTCTGTGGCCCTAATGTCCTTTCTCATTTCTTCTGTGACTTTATCGCCTTAATTCATCTCTCCTGCTCTGACACCAGATCTGTTGAAATGTATTTCTTCTTTGTTACTTCATTTGTCATTCTACTATCCCTCATTGTAACCATCATTGCATACAGCAACATAGTAGTCACAATCCTGCGACTGCCATCAGCCAAGGAGCGACAGAAAGCTTTCTCCACCTGCTCCTCTCACCTCATTGTCCTCTCTCTGATGTACGGCAGCTGTGTGTTTATTTACCTGAAACCAAAGCAGGTGAACAGACTGGACTCCAACAGGGAGGCTGCCCTTGTGAACATGGTGGTGACCCCGCTGCTGAACCCTGTCATCTACACTCTGAGGAACAAGCAGGTCCACCAGGCTCTGAGGGACACACTGTCTAGGGTGAGGTTGCAGAAATAGAGCTTTGGAGGCTAAATGGATTCTCTTGACCCTCTAATCAGTTTCCCACCATTGGCAAAATCTATTCTAGAGAAGCCGTCCACATGACGACCTAGCTTGTGCTACTTTCCAGAGGGATGGGCCCTGTCTTTATCTTGCAATTCAATCTTGTGCCTGTGGTCAGCCGCTCAGTCATGCTGTTTGTGACCCAATGGACTGTAGCCCACCAGGCTCGTCTGTCTCTGGGATTTCCTGGGCAAGAATACTGGAGTAAGTTGCCATTTCCTCCTCTATGGCTTCCCAACTCAGGGATCAAATCTGTGTCTCCCGAGTCTCCTGCATTGGCACGCAGATTCTTTCCCACTGGGCCACCTGTGAAGGCTTGTTCCTTTCTTTGAAAATTTCATTCGTTCTCCATGTTGCACTGATGATATCTTCCTTGATTTTCTACTGATTGGTCTTATACAAATTCAATTCAAACAACATTTATGGAGCAACTGTTTTACATAAATTATAAGATACAATATCTTTAAGGTAATAATTAAAATGTTGCCAATCAGATTTAATAAATGTCATTCATGATACATTCTGATGCTTTAATTTTCTGATACCTAAGAAAAATAGATAGAACTGTTTCCTTACCATTAGATATTGAGGTTTGAATTTTAAGAAAGAAATTTGTTTCTGAAAACTATGAAAAGTCATAGTACAAATTAATGTTGTTTCATTAACTGAATTTGTTTATGTAAATGAATCTGCTATATGCTCACTGGCTCTTCTCCAGGTCTGTTGATATTAGTGTAGTAACAAATCAGTGTATTTCCAGGTGGTTAAGATGAGATTTTCAGTTTATCATCTTTAGCTGTATCAAACATTACTAGTAAAATTTTCTTTAACTTCTTAAAACACAGACAAAAGCACATTTTTTTCATATTTCCGTAACTTTATTACTTACAGCAGCAACTGGGAGAGTGTTTTATGGGATTTCCTAGCATAATAATTCTGGATGTTTGGTTAAAATCTACCCTGGCTGAAAAGGAAATAAAAAATGGTAATGTTAATGACATATGTAATTACTAAATAAGTCTAGTTCATATGGTTGGAAAAACTTTTTAAAACCTGAAGATCAAAGGGGAACAATTAAGAAAATGCATGGAACTGCATTCTCTGGTGGGAAACTTTGGTCTACAATCCTGAGTGGCCACCTGCCCTATTACAGGAGAGATAGGAGAATTAAGGTAAGCAAGTTTAAACCTGTGCACTTATTTTTCTCTAATTGATGTTGCCAAGTTCTGGATTCAACCGTTTGTTGAAAGGCAGATGATCCCAGTAGCAAATGCTTTCTTCTCATCTAAGAGATATTTTCTCTTTAGTGTGACCTTAAGGTGTGGGAGCTGCTTCCCTTAACATGTCTTCCATGTTAAGGTAAATTCTGGTTGACATTTTAGGTAGCAAAAACTAATAGAACTCATACTTAGAAAACTTTAAAAGGAAAATGAGTGCATTAATAATTAAAAAGTGGATTAAAATGGAGTCAGTTATTGTGTTTACAGGTTCACTGAGGAAGTGACTCCCATCAGAAAACAATAGGCCCTAGTGGAATTTAGGTTCAGTCACATCTGATACTGCATGTGCATGATCTACACTGGAATTTTAGTATGTCTGACTTGAGGGCATATCTTCCTTTTAGTTTGTTCTGAGGAAAAAAATTATATTTAAGGTGTAATCTCATTAGGAAGAATTTTAGACTGTCAAAAGAGTGTTCAGTGATTTAGATTTTTAAGTTTGGGAATGGTTTGATTATAAGCAGTCCTGGATTATGGTTTTCCAAGAACAGGTATGTCTATGTCACTGCTTTCTCCAAAGTATAAATTAGATGGGTAATTTTTGAACCTGATCTAAAGGTAGGGAACTCCTGTGAGTTCTCTGTACTGGTTTCTGTGCATTAGATAAAAGAGCCATTTCTACCAGTCTTCACAGATTTGATGTGGTCTAATTCACCAGTTTATCATCTTATAGATCATATATTTGATATCAAGCCTAAGAGCTGCTTAGCCCTAGATTCCAAAAAATTTCCTCTTTTATTTCCTAAAAAAATTATTTTTGTGTTTTAAGTTTGTAATCCATTTTGAGTTAGTATTTGTATAAGCTGTCAGGCTTAGACTGAAGTTTTCTTTTGCCTGTGAATGTCTAATTGATCCATTACCATTTGTTGAAAAATTATCCTTCCTCCATTGAATTACTTATATATCTTTGTCAAAAATCAGTTGGGCTTATTGTTAAAGGTCTATTTCTGGTTTATCTATTCTGTTCCACCAATCTGTGTGTTTATGTCCCTACAAATATCACACTGTCTTGATTTCTGTACCTACACAATAAAAACTAATAGTGAATAGTCACTCCTATTTTCTTTATTTTTCAAGATTAAAAAACTTATTATATGGCCCAGGCCTTTCAATATAATTTTTAGAGTAAGTTTGTCTATGTCTACAAAGACTTTTCTGAGATTTTGTTGAAAACTGCCTAAAACCTGTTGATCAATTTAGAAAGATCTTATATCATCACTATGTTGAATCTCCTAATTCATAAAGACTGTATGTTTCCTCATTTATTTAGGCTTCTTTGATTTCTTTCATCACAGTAGTCTAGTTTTCCACATATAGATTATGTACATATTTTGTTAGATTTATACCTAAGTATTTTATTTCCTTTGCAGCTATTATAAATGGCAATGTGTTTTACTTTGTTTCCACAATTTTATTGTTATTATATAAATATGTAGTTTTTCTTTTGTGTGTTGATCTTGCACTCTGTGACCATGCTGAAATCACTTATTAGTTCCAGTAATACTTTTGTAGTTTGCTTAGGGTTGTCTATGTAGATATTCATATAATTTCCCAACAGAAACTGTTTTCTCTCTTTCTTTCCAGTCTTTATGCATTTTACTTCTTTTTCTTGCCTTACTGCAGTGGCTAGAACTTCCAGAGTTGTCATGTTCTCTATCTCAGAGAGGAAGCATTTAGTCTTTTAGCATTAAGTATGATGTCACCTCCATCTTTTTCGTAGATTTTTTTGGTCAAGTTGAGATGGTTTGTCTCTGCTACTAGCTTGCTGAGAATTTATTTATGTTTATTTTTTATCACGAATATGTGGGGAAGCACAAATCACTGCTCAACTTTGATGAAGAAGGTGTGGTTTTTCCTTTGGCATTCAGTTGGAGTAAGATTGGTACTGACAAAAATTCATTTTCTATTAGGCCACTGTCAGTTTTTTGGCTGTGGGGCACAGGCTTTTTTTTTTTTTTTTTTCTTGAAATATTTTAAAAAATCTACCTATTGGCGATTCTATGCTGGAGGATTCTGCTGCACCCTGTCTGGGAAATATGAGAGGCAATAAGGAAACCCAGGGAAAGGACTGGCATGCTGTTCATCAAGACTGTCCCTATGCCTTCTTTCTACTCTTCCAGAATCTTTCTATGGTTATTTGTTGTGTTATGTCCAGGGTATTTTAATTAAAGAAAGAGGACCTGGGAGAAATGGGTTACTTTACCTTGGTGAAAAAGTCCTTGATGAACTTCTGATAAATCAGTTACTTTGATATGAAAGACATTCCTCGTGCAGAAACCCATGTAAATTTAGATAAGGGATTGATTCACAGAAGAACCTTCATATTAGTGTGTGTGTGTGTCTGTGTGTGCACGCGCGCATGCGCGTGAGCACTCTGTTGCCCAGCCATGTCCAACTCTTTGTGACCCTCTGGACTGTAGCCTGTCAGGCTCCTCTGTCCATGGGATTTCCCAGGCAAGATTACTGGAATGGGTTGCCATTCCCTTCTCCAGATGGTCTTCCCGACCCAGGGATGGAACTCGAGTCTCCTGAGTCACCTGCATTGGCAGGCGGATTCTTTACCACTGAGCCACCAGGAAGCCATATTATTACTATGTACATGGGCATGCTTGGTTGCACAGTTGTGTCTCACCCTTTGTGACCCCATGGACTGTAGTCCACCAGACTCCTCTGTCCATGGGATTTTTCCAGGCAGGAATACTGGAGTGGGTTGCCATTCTCTCCTCCAGGGGATCTTCCCAACCCAGGGATCGAACATGAGTCTCCTACATTGGCAAGCAGATTCTTTATCACTGAGCCACCTGTGAAGCACCTATTGTGTATAAAATATGGACAAAAGCTTTGAATTTCTTCTGACTATACCACATGTTATAATCATTAAAGCTCTGTTTTTAAACTAGTAAAAAAGTTGTGAATTTTTGAAGAAATGAACTAGGTAGTAGAAGAAAATTCAGTGTCTGATTTGAATTAGTCAGAAGTAGACCTGTAAGCAAGGATTTGAAGATGATTAGCTTATTTGAATGTTGATTCTATGAAACACCAGTCAGGTGGAGAGAAAGTGACATAATGAGAACTGTGCTTCATCAAGCCAGTTACCATTCTAGGAAACTGAAATTCCATCTCACTGTGGACTTCTGGGTGGTAGGATAGAACACCCTTCAGAGTTATTCAAACCAAGAGGAAAATAAGACAGAGTATGTATATAGCAAGTCTCTACCAAACATTGACTGAAGATTACTCATAAAAATAGTTAATCTCCAGCATTTCTGGCTTGTCCTGTGCATGAGAAATGTACCCCCACAGCCAGAAGATAGTGCTCTGGCAGAGTCTGCAGGATTTTTGCAGTAAAGAATCCATAGGATGCCAGTCAGGTTGAATACCAAGGTAAAATTTGTGGGGTTCTACTGGTGTCTTCAATTCATCCATCACACTACTTATATTCACTTGCCTACTACAGTGCAAGTAAGTGCAACCTGCCTATTACTTATTCTCCAATGTAATGGTTGGCCATGTTTAAAAAAAAAAACAAAACCAGACTTACAGTAGGAAGATAAGTATGTAAACTATGTTTCATGCTGCTGTCATTAGTCTCTTGGTCAAATAAATATTACATCATGTCTTTCCATGATCATCCATATTAGATTTTTCCTTCATCCTTGGCCAGCACAACTGCTG